TCTGCAAAGTTGCAGAATTTTACAGTTGTTTGTATGGTTGGGGCAGGTTTGTACCCCCACCACATAAACCTCATTTTGGAGCAATATCTTTGCTTGCCTTGGATGCCAAGGCTTAGTATTATTTGTTAATTTTAAGGCACTCTCTGCTGCATTGTCAATGGATAATTGCTAACTGGTTCCAGACAAACAAAAGTTGGAAAAAAACGTGAAAGGGTCTATTATGGTAATATGTACTCTGAAGGGTAGTGCTCTTTCCCCCCAGTGTTCATAATAAGAACTACCCAGTCCACCCACGTGATGATAATTTGGCTAACCCAAGGTTCTTAATTTTGCAGCTTCATGGCTAAGAAAGATGGATTTAGAGTTTGCCCTTATCTGGCAGGTCATGGTGTGGGATCAGTGTTTCATGGACCACCTGAAATCTTGCACACAGGTGTGGATGTAAGACGAAACAAAATGGTTATAAATGATGGTTATACTTCAGTACCATAAATCCTCCATTAAGCCCCCTCTCTTTAACAATCCCCTCCATTAACCCCCCTTCCCTTCCTCATTATTTTCAAAGAACAAACTGTATGAATTAATCACAACTGTAACACTTCATGTGGACTGATTTGGTAACTTTATGGTTCATTCATGTGCTGTAAGTTCTGATTTGTTCTTGATCTTTGTTTGTGTGACCTCCAACCTCATGTGACAGAGCTTTTCCACTTTGTGAACTAGTTTTTAAGGAGAACTGATATTATCATTTTTGCTAATGTAAATAAACCTCCCTCTCTATTAACCCCCTCCCCCCAAATGTGCTTGAAGTAAATAAGGGGACTCAACAAAGGATTTATGATTTTTTTTCCTTTACTTTGTAGTTAATTTCAATCCTGGAAAAATGGAAGCAGGAATGACATTTACTATAGGTGGGTGTTTTAAAACAAAGGTGCTGTTTAGTCCCATGGTACTCTGCATGCATGGCAGGAAATTCAATGCCAGATCCAGACCTTGAGTTAAGGGAGGGGGGCAGTCATCCAGACCCTGAGATAGGGGGGGGGGGCCTCCCTCAAAAATTTTTTTCGCGGTTTAAGCCCCCGGTTGGGTTTAAAAAAAAAGGGGGGCTGGGGCCCCAGCCCCCTCCCCTGGGTCCCCCCCTGGAATTCACTTCTAAACAGGGGCGGGCTAGGGTTTTTCCAAGGGGGGGGTCACACCAGGCTGGGAGAGCGTCGTGTAGGGGAGGAGGGGAGATCCCGGGGGGGGGCCGGTCCTTTAAAAAAAAAAAAGTGAGAGAGGAGTGGGGGGAGTTAGAAACACAGTGTGCTCGGGTGCCCCGACGTTGTGGCACAGAAGGGGAGGGATACCAAGGCAAAGGCAGAGCCGTGGGGGGGGGGGGGGGGCGAGGCAGCGGGACCGGGGGAGGGGGGGGGGGGGGTCATCTCTCAAAAATTTTTTTCGCGTTTCAGGCCTCAGTTTGGTTTACAAAATAAGGGGGGCCTGGGCCCCCAGACCCCTCCCCTGGATCCTCCACTGAAATTCATCTCTAACAGGGGCTGAGCTAGGATTTTTCAAAGGAGAGGGTCACACTGTGTCACACCCAGAGTATATACTGGATTGGCAAGTCGACATCGAGACCATGTTTTACTAAAAGTGACATTCTTTTTGTGAATGAGCAGTGAGTGTTGGGGGTGGGACAAGCCTACAAGATTAATAATTTACGCTATGTGGAACTTAATTACCAGAAACTCATAAGGGGTGTTTCAACCCCTTATGAGTTTCTGGTTCCACGTAGCATAAATTACTTTATTTTAGTTATGAACAAGAACATGGTCCACTGCAACTGTTAGGTCCTGCAAGTGGATTAAGTAACTATCTTGCACTGGAAAATATTTATTGCATGTTGATTCTTCAGATTCGTACATTTTGGCCATCTGAATTATCAGGACATAAAGCAATTATCTCAGAAATGGGAGGGGGGGTCATAAGCACCCCAGGATCACCCCCTAGCTACGCCCCTGACAAAGACCATGGTGACAAACAAGTGAAGACTGCAAGTTCAGTTCAATACAAATCTTGAAATGTGTAGTCAAAATATGGCGTTTTTACCATGTTTATTTTTTATATTTCAGAGCCTGTTCTTTGCGAAGGATCACCCACAATAAAAATTCTTGAAGATGGCTGGACTGTTATCACTGAAGATGGCAAAAGGTATCACCTGTACATGCTTCTCCTCCAAATTTGATTTGATGGTGTTATATGATGTAAATTGAAATAAGGTCAAGAGCTTGGAGCTGAAGGTCATGGTTGCTCTGCACCTTAAGCTATGTCATAACAAACTTTCTTTTTACAATAATTAATTGTTAGTAGAGGTTCAACTGTTTTGAGATTAAAGCTGTGTCATTTTTTAATATTTCTTCTTTAGGACAGCACAGTTTGAACACACATTGCTAATAACAGATACAGGTGTTGAGGTGCTTACAGCAGACACCGAAGATTGACACAGAAACAAACCAGCAATTTTGTTTTTATTCTATCTTCTCTCTGTCTGCTGGAGTGAGGCAGTAAGAAGAGAGACCTTTTAGTTAAGTAGAGGGCTGGAGTAAACAAATATAAGTGTATATTTTTAATTAAAAACAACAACAACAACAATAGTGAATAAAGATTATTGGTCATTGAAAGGAGTAATGTTACGTTATTGAGACTGTTACTGGCACTCACTCCCTAATATTTTTTTAAAGATTTCCTTTGGATATAAAACACTCTCAAATGTATAAAAGAACTTTACTTCAAGTTTCTTATAGTGGAACCTCAATATAACAAAGACCCAAGGGACTGGCGAAACATGTTTGCTATGATGATGTTTTGTTCTATCGAGGTCCTTTTTCATGTATCTTACTATTTCTGAGGTAAAGAAAATCAAGGACTTTGTTAAATATCGAAGTTTCACTGTACTGAGCTGATGACAATTTGACTCAGTCCTTAATTTTTTCACAGTAGATCCCCTTTGAAAGGAAAAGGTTTCATGAAAAGTTTAGCTAGTATGCTGGTGCTGGCTTTGATTTTCAGGTGTGGATGAGGATTAGGACCAAAGGGTTCAAGTCACACCCCACAAACCTGCATCTGCCAGCATACAGCTTATTTTAGTTGATGGCATTTTGATATCGAACTAGATATCCACACCCCGGAATTCTAAAGACTGGAATTCAAGAGGAATAATTAAAGTTTTTAAAGGGTGTGGGTTGTGATGGGCGAGCTATAAAAGGGGGGCGCTCACTACCCCTTGCTTCAGAAAAGAGAAACTGCCTAATCTAATTACATAATTGCCAACATTACGATGCCCATCTCGGAAACATTAAACTCGTTTTTATTTTGATTTTTTCGAAATTATGTCAATCATGATTTCATATACGTTGCCGCGGCGCGCGGAAAGAGAAAAAAACCTGGAAACGAGGACGAATAAAAATCTCATTCCAGTCCTTCTCGGCCTGTTGTCACTTGCGTGTCTTCGTTTCTGGTATTGCACCATTTTCGATTGTTCGGGGTTGCCAAACAAATTGTTGCCGCATTTTTAAAGTGAATTTCATTTTGTTAGTTTATGCTTACTTCTGATCAAGAAATGCACCTGAAGAGTTCTGCCGGTCGTCCAAAAGGGACGTGTAAGAATGTTGTTTTACCGCCTTCAAGCGCTGACTTGGTGAGGGAGAGTGGCAATATGGCCGCTCAAACCGCCTTTAACGGCCACGTGGAAAGTCCCACTGAAAACGGCTACACTTTCAGTGCGTCGCCTCTTTACGAATCCAAGCCTCGTCTTTGACAATGGTAAGATGTTTTTCGTGTTTGAGTAGTTATTTTGAGTGCCATCTTGTAATGAAAAACAGTCAGAAAGAAGGGCGATTTCCATTCAGCCCAAAATTCCGGAAATTTCGGTTAGGAATCGAATGGAACGGACCGTTTCGTTTCGATCCGACCGGAATATTTGGAAACACCTTTGAAGACCGGTCCGGTCTTTTCGGTCGCTCCGAATAGTTGTCCCTAGTACCGCTAGTTGTCCCTAGTATTGGTGTCCATACCCCCTCCCCCTCCCCCCCACCGGTTGAGGACTTATATTGTCCTCTTACCTCTAAAGATTTAATTATTTAATCGCAATCGCCCTTGAAGACTGGAATGTGTTCTAAGAGGTCCAGATTTCAACATTTTTCCAGAAACTCGTACCCTCAAGTAGCGCTTTTGCCACCTTTTTTTTTTTTCCTTCTCCACTAGCCTTAAAAAACATCTAGGAATGTGTTCTAAGAGGTCCAGATTTCAACATTTTTCCAGAAACTCGTACCCTCAAGTAGCGCTTTTGCCACCTTTTTTTTTTTCCTTCTCCACTAGCCTTAAAAAACATCTGTTTCTCCTCGCTCTTCGCCGCTGGGGACATTTCACGCCAAGGAACGTCTGCGACTCAGGGGCAGAAATTCCATACTGATGACGCAAATCAATATTTACATAATGAATCCGGTGGTCATGGGTTCCAAATATATTTTTGTCCAATTTTACCTGTCTTCTGGTCGATTTTGGTAAAGTGCTGTGTGCATGTGCCAGCGAGCTCAAGCAAAACTCAAATGCTTCTTCTAGAGAACACTATATTCTACCAATATTGACTGTTTTGTTAGAGATTCTTAGCATTTACATTTGACCTTTGTGGCCTTTTGTCTTTTGTCCGTCATTCGTAAACAATAGCTAAAACAATTTAACTACTCCGTCGACCAATCAGCACTTCTGACCGGATTCCGGACAGATTTTACTTCATCAGTATGGAATTTCTGTCGCTGAGTCGCAGACGTTTCTCTGCGCGAAACATCCCCAGTGGCGAAGAGCGAGGAGAAACAGATGTTTTCGCAGGCTTTTTCTCCACCTGCTGCAAAGCTTCTACCACCTACTTAGAATCTTATTGAAAACCCTGGGATGGCAGGGCTAATCTGAAAAACCATCTGTGGGAGGGGTATGGATATTCTCTGGACTGACACAACTGAATTTTTGTTCTATGTTGTACTTATGTTGAGTACATATTATACAATCTATCTTTCAATTTTATGTTCCAAGTCTTTTTTTTATCTTTCATTATCGTACATTACCATAACCAAAAAAACAGATTACCTATTTTGACCAATGATGTATGTTTTTGAGTTGGTATTGTTAAAATGTGTTGCATAAGATTACAGGGAATTTGATCAGCTGGTGATAATTGCTGATATGTTGATGTCCTACAGGGGTCTTCCACCTTGCCTCCCCAAAAGGCCAGGAGCATCTTGTCAAGAGCCCGCTGGAGGACCAATCATCCAGCTTTTGGTCAATAGATCCTGCTTGGGGTCAAAGCGACCATAGAGAGCTGTTCTTTGACCAAGTGGCTGAACTTGAGCAGTTGATGTCTGGGGAGAATTGCAGGGAAATTGTTTTTCAGAAGTCTTGGCCTGTTAATGGAGCGTTGTCTTTTGGTAGTGTGCAAAATAAGGAGGATGTTCATGGTGGCTTTGTAGAATTGTCAGATGGTGAAGGAAATTTAAATGCCAGTGGACTTAGTTGTCCTGATCCTGGAATATCGTGTGAACAATGCTCAGAAGAGAATCCTCCTCCAGAACAACAAGCCCTTGAGCACTCACCAGCAAGTTTGCCAAACAATGAGGCAATGCTGTTTGATCAATCACAAGATTCACCTTCCTCTGTAGGAAGCTCTTGCAGTGATGAAGCCTTTGAAAAGAGGATCAGAAACAATGAAGCTTCCAGGAAGTTTCGCCGTGCAAGGAAGGAAAGACACAAAACTTTGTTTGCTAGGGCAACTAAGTTGGAGAAGGAAAACTGGTCATTGAAGCTTCAGGTGAACGAGATGATGAGAGAAATTGCTTCCTTGAGGTCCATGCTTCCGAAGAATATTAATCATGTTTCATTTCTTTCATGAAATTAGAATGATATGTAGCTGTATTTTACACTTAATGTTTGCAAGGATTTGTTGCACTGTTTTTACTTATAACTTAGAAAATCAGACAGCTTCTTCTCATTTAAGGAGCTCTTTGTTTAAAAGTGCTAATGGTAGAATATCAAGCAGGTTTTAGGATATTATGTTAAGGGTAGTATTTTAGGTGTAGACCAAATCAAATTTGAAAATCTTTTTTGTCATCTATGTTGATTTGCGCATGTACATATGTTTAAGTAAATTGGTTCAAGATGAATTCACATTGCTAAGATACATTGTAGATATGTTTCTTTTGAACTTGAGTCATTCAAAACTATTTTGAAAAATTTCCTATGTTCAGGACAGTAGTCATTAAGGTTCTAAGTTGGCCTTTCTCTTAGGGAAAGTAGCCGGTCATTTATATCTCAAATCCTCTTATATTATTTTGTTATGTGACTTATTTTCAAATTTAAAGAGGCCAGTTGATTTTACGGCCAGCTAAAAAGCCAGCTGCAGGCTACTAATGACAGCCCTGATGTTACCTACCTTGCAAGCAGAGGTTTCTCTCTTGCTTGGTTTTTAGCGTTTACAAAGTCATTCGCATTGCTTCTCGTTCACATAGTTGGTTTCTTTTTTACAAACCAACTACGTGACTGACAAGCGACATGAACAACTTTGTAAACACTTTAAGCCTTGCAAGAGAGAAACTTCTGCTGACAGGCTAGATGATGCCTATTAAAATTGAATTGGTTTTGCTTATATAGTTATTATATTACATTGTAAGTGAGAGTATGTGCTCATGTGTTCTTGATTTAGCATTTAAAGTTAGTAGCCATTGGTCTATTTAATTGTAGTAGTTATAGAATAAATTTAGTAGCCATTGGTCTATTTGATTGTAGTAAGTATAAAATATTTTCAATGTTTTGATGTAATTGTGGCTTAAGCTATTTACGTGAGAAATCTGGTTGGGGTCAGGGAAGTTTTGGCCAATCAGTGGTCTGCTAGTAATCGCTTGTAAAGGCATGCTTGTGACAAGTCAGGGAAATGGCTCATTCACCCTCTCCAGTACTGCCAAGTGGGGAGTGACGGCAACTTGCAGCCATGCAGAGCAGCTTCTCCTAGAACCCTTTCAGTCATTGTGGTAGACAAGGAAGCTTGCAAACAAACATCAAAGACCAAAGTGACCATTTTCAATTTGGGAAGTTTTAGGTACATGTATTATTTTTAGTAAAATCCAACTAGTGGTCTATTATCAATGCTACGTTCTGATTGGTTGAGCTACCACTAGGCTATATGTTATAGCCCACTAGTAGCAAAAAGCGCCGGCTGTGAAAACCAAAACAATGGCGGCTGCATCGCGTTTAGCTAGCTAAAGTTGTTTCGTTTCGATATTTTTTACCAACTAGTTGGATTTTACTAAAACTGTTGCTCATCTCGCCATTCAGCCTTTGGCCTCGTGAGCTATTGACTCAGAGCCCATTCAGGCTCGAGGAATAATTGTTAAATATTCTGACTTATTCCAGTGAACTCCCCCCTTTGAATACTGTTGGGAATGCCTCCAGTAACAATAGTAATTTAGTTTTCCCAACTGAAGAAGGTCACAAGTCACTGACTTTAACGCAACAGGTTTAATTCACTCCCGCATCGCAATCTCACATGGTTCAAAGACCCAAGTCACATTCGATTGTGCTCACATGTACGAATAACTTGTCAATCAAAATCACAACTATGTATACACTCGGGCCCAGTCTCCAACAATGCTGATCAAACTCAATTTGTGTAGTTATGAATGTTCAAATAAATTGCTTGTTTATAAAATTTGGTTTTAAACTTGTTTGTCAATAATACAAGTGTTAGTGGGGCTGAGAATTAGATGTTCCATAATTGTTCCATAAAGTTCTTAAAAAAAAAAAAAAATTTTGAAAATGAGTTATAGATTTTAAGTTTTTAGAAACGTTAAAGGAGAATTAATAGTTTCTTGGAGGTTTCTTAGAGGTGCCGCTCTATTCCATGATGGAAAGGGTAAATCCTCAGTTGTAAATCTGAGGTCTTGCTTGTTATGTTTCACTCTTTTTAAACTTCCTTTCTATAGGTCTCCTATTTCAAACCCAATGTTCCCATCTATGCCTTTCTCCAAGTTGCCATTTCGTTCCATTTTTCATCTATTTTCCAATGTAAGTAGGCGAGGATCACAATAGCCCAGGGGAAATCCCCCACTGCCCTTAACAACAGCCGTGCATTTCAGTCGGACAAACCAGAAAAGTTGTCTGTGATACACAAAATTGACTTTCAATAATATCTTTGAGTATTATTATGCAAATCTTCAATTTCAAAATGATGGGCATATGCATCTGATCTGTCCATGCAGACATCACTTGGGACTGCAGGTAAGATCTCATCAGCAATAAGCCTACGTGGCAGGAGCAAAAAAGGGGAGGGGAGGGGAAAGAAAGCACAAAATCCCCTCTCCCTTATTTCCTCCTCTCCCTCCCTTTTGAAGCATGTTGCATAGGATATTAAATCATACATTGGGAAATTCTAGTGAGATTGTTTGAGGGCTGACTATATTTCCAGATCTGCCATTTGGCAGGTGCTCCATTGCTGGTTTGCACGTGACGTCATGGTGGCCATGTTGGTTGTAAAGAACAAAAGCACTTCTCTCCTCTGAGAACTAAACCCTATTTTTCATGTAAATTCTTCGAGAAAAAATTGTATTGACCACCAACATAGCTGCCTTGTCACGTGGTTGCAAAGCAAGAATTAACCATGTTTTTTCGACTATCAATCTTGAGCAATAACATAGACATGGGGAAAATATGAGACAGATTTCCATTCTCTGTATTTATGGGACCTTGGCTTGTTTATTTGGGGGACTGCAGGAAGGACCAGCTGATTTGTACCATAAGGAAATATGCCAAACTATTGCATTTGTTTCCTTATAACTTTTTTATAGTTTCTCTCAATGGAAAAATTGTCCAACCCATCTCATTCTGTTTTATCTTTAACCTATAGTATCCCTCATCAGAAATAAGGAACGCTCGCCTCCCCATTAAACGCCAGATTGTTTTGATTTTCTAAAGTTGCGTGACCCAACCTTTCGACTTCAATCGCTTGTCACGGAAAGTTACGTCACAAGTGATGCAAGTGTCGTGAACGTTTGCAAATACGAGAGGCTGCAGTATTAGTTCGGATGAACGATAAAAGGCAAAGGGTTCGTCTACTGGAAAGGAAGGTCATTTCCCGTCGCTGGCTTTCAAATCTCTTCTAGATGTGTAAAAAGTGAAAAATGTTTTCTACGAAGTCTACAAGACTTGCATCCTCTCTCGTGGGAACGGTGCTCAGATCGTCAGGTTCTCGGTGCATCATCTTGCCGTGGTTTGGAATTCGAACTGAAAATGGCGGTCAACTGGTAGCAGCTCTTCGAAAATCCACAGTAAGCTTAGAGTTGTCGTCGTACGCTAGGTTTTGAGTGTTGATAGTAAGCTGAGAATGTAATAGATTATTAGAAATTACAGTAAAAATTGGTGTTATATAATGCTTACGTAAGAGGATCATGCCGGGTTGAGGGGGAACCCAAGCTGAAGCATTGCAAAGTCAGTATGAGGTGTATTAGGTGTTTACTCCTCAAATAGGATTTACCACTTTTGTTATAAATATTTGATCCTTTGACACAATTAAATTTTCTTTGATAAAGCCGAGGATTTAATCCAGTGTTCAACACCTAATATACTCGACAAGGTTTTGACAATGAAGAAAAAAAACACTTGTTCATAATGCATCAGTCAATTCCAGCTACTTCCTATAATGGCCTATATGTGAAGGCTCTGCCACAAAGTGGGTGCCTTAAGGTTCAGCTATATAAAAAGGGTACGGATTTCACTTGAACTAAATGAAAGGGTAGGGACATCTGTCTTTTCGGTCAGTAAAAGGACCCCAAAGGACTGCATTTTATGCCTGTGAACAAGTTGAGAAAACTTTGTGGTTTTGTGATTTATTCATATTTTGAAGACAGTGCATTTACAGCAGTTGAAAAGGATGCAAAGTTCTAAACTAGGAATATGAAAAATGTACCATTTGCTAATAGAAGGTATATGAAAGGGGTACCTTTTCTGTAGCCTGCGAAAACAGCCGTTTCTCCTCGCTCCTCGCCGCTGGGATATTTTGGGAGAAGGAACGTCTGTGACTCAGCGACAGAAATTCCATACTGATGACGTAAATCAATGTTCACTTAATAAATCCAGTAGTCAAGAGCTTCCAAAATATAAATTTGTGAAAATTTTTCGTTTCTCCCAGTCGATTTTCGTAAAGTGTAATGTTTACATGCGAGTGAGCTCCAGCAAAACTCAAATTCTTCTTCTAGAGAAGAATGTATTCCACAAATATTGACTGTTTCATTATAGATTCATCGCATTTACATTTGACCTTTTTAGCTTTTTGTCTTTTGTCTGTCATTCATAAACAATAGCTAGAACAATGTAACTACTCTGTCGTACAATTGATCAGTACTTATGATCAGATTTCAGACAGATTTTACATCATCAGTATGGAATTTCTGTTGGTGAGACGCAGACATTCCTCCTCACGAAAGGTCCCCAGCGGCTAGGAGCGAGGAGAAATGGCAGGTTACCTTTTGTGTCAAAAATGGTATATAACTGGGGGTTTGCACAGTCTTAAAAAGTCCTTGAATTTTAGGGGAAGTCCTTGAAAAGTCCTTAAAATCCAATTTTCCTTGAAAAGTCCTTCAATATCTGTGCAAGTCCTTGAAAAGTTCTTGAATTTTCTTCAACTTTGAATGTAGTAGCCTGGAGAGAGTTTTTTGATGCTTTTTGGTTGTCCAAGGCAGAATGTAAATCACAACTCAGAGAATTCAATGGTTATTTACGTAAAGTGCTCTATGTTTTATGCAATAATTAAATATCAATTTAAGACAAGTGAACTGAAAAATGTAGAGAGGTTGGCAAAGCAAACAGTTCAAGCTGTAAAGTCTTATTTAGAACGGACTGGGAATGTGCATTTTTCTGTGAAATTATAATCCTAGTAGGTGGTCCTTGAAAATCTGATGTGGTCCTTGAAAAGTAATTGAAATGTCCTTAAAAAATGGTTGCAATTTTTTGTGTGAACCCTGTATAAAGCCAGCTAGGTAAGGGGTTGGCCTTCGGGGCCAGAGCTTCCCCATTTTAAACTACCCTGGGGGAGTTCCCCACCTGGCAGCAGGCTCTCTTGTGGGATACATAATTTCTGAATATCTGTGTTGACATAGTTGTATTTACCAGGTTTGTCTGTTGTCCGCGAGTGCTGTGCACACTGAGAAGCAGCTACCACATTTTAAAGAGAGGGAACAGATTAAAGAAGCCGAAGGAGATGATGATCGCACACTGGGTAATGAAGTGTACAGGATGCCTCATCCTATTTGGTAAGAAAAGAAAATGATGATTGTATGATTATAATGAGCATTATAACTCATTATTATACAGTGTAAAACTTATCAAAGACATTGTTTTAATCATGTCCTGCATTATAAAAAAAATACAGAGGAACACATATCACTAGGGATATGTGTTTCCCAGGTAGGGGAACAGATATCACTAGGGATATGTGTTTCCTAGGTGGCGGACAACATATCACTAAGGAAATGTGTTTCCCAGGTGGGGGAACACATATCACTAGGGATATGTTTTTCCCAGGTGGGGGAACACATATCACTAAGGATATGTGTTTCCCAGGTGGGAGAACACATACCACTAGGGATATGTGTTTCCCTGGTGGGGGAACACATATTACTAAGGATATGTGTTTCCCAGGTGGGGGAACACATACCACTAGGGATATGTGTTTCCCAGGTGGGGGAACACATATCACTAGGAATATGTGTTTCCCAGGTGGGGGAACACATATCACTAGGGATATGTGTTTCCTAGGTGGGGGACAGCATATCACTACGGATATGTGTTTCCCACGTGGGGGAACACATATCACTAGAGATATGTTTTTCCCAGGTCGGGGAACACACATCACTAAGGATATGTGTTTTGCAGGTGGGGGAACACATACCACTAGGGATATGTGTTTCCCAGGTGGGGGAACACATATCACTAGGGCTATGTGTTTCCTAGGTGGGGGACAGCATATCACTAGGGATATGTGTTTCCCACGTGGGGGAACACATATCACTAGGGATATGTTTTTCCTAGGTGAGGGAACACATATCACTAAGGATATGTGTTTCCCAGGTGGGGGAACACATACCACTAGGGATATGTGTATCCTTGGAAGGGGAACACATATCACCAGGGATAGGTGTTTCCTAGGTGTGGGAACACATATCACTAGAGGTATGTGTTTCTTATGTGGGAGAAGACATATTTTATACTTGGGATATGTGTTTCCCAGCTGGTTGAACACATATCACTAAGGATTCGTGTTTCCCAGGTTGGGGAATGTATATCACTGGGGATATGCGTTTCCCATGTGGAGGAACACATATCACTTCGGATATGTGGTTCGTAGGTGGGAGAACACATATTACTAGATTTATCTGTTTTCCCAGTAGCTGAACACATATCTCTATTGATATGTGGTCCTTTACTTGGAAAACACATATCGCTACTGATATGTGTTTTCCAGACAGCGGAACACATATTACTAGGGATTTGTGTTTTCTTCATTGGGTATATATAACGCAGCGCTTAACCTATTCAGCCTCTTATGTATTTTATTTAACTGCAAGGAAGCTTTTTGGTTTTTTTTCCTACAGTTCCAATTAAATTTTAGTTATTTTTATATTTTGATTTTACTATTATAATGTGTTATATTTCAGGTCAGAAGATGATTTGCACAGTGTAAAAATAACCCATGAAGACCCAGTAACTAAAGTTGACAAGGTGGAATAAAAATTTTGCAGTTAGTATTGTTGTATGCATGAGAGTTACAAAGGGTGCCTATGATTGGGAAATCTGGATTTAGATTTTAATGCTGCAGAGATATCTGTTCTTGAGTTTTCCCTTTTTTGCTGTTGTTTTTTTTGGAATATCCAAGAAAGGATTAAGAAAAACTGTTCTTAGGAACAGGAGTTTTGCACCCGCATGCATAATTAGCAAAAAGACGACCACTGTCCAAAAGAATAGTTTTGCAAATCCTCTTTCGGATTCCCAATTGAACAGTAAAGAAGGAAATCCATGAAATCTGGATTTGGATTTGTTAATTGAAATCCACCCTGAGGACGGATTTCTCGAAAGTGAAATCCATTCTTGGGTTTTGCGTTCAAATGCAAATCTGAAATTCTTTTTACAAAAATTAAATCTGGATTTCCCAATCGATTGCAACCAAACTGTAATATTATTGTTCTGGTTACCTGCATAGAGGATATGCTTTTAACCCCACGGTAGCATACTATAGGAGGGTTGAAAAGCTTGTCTGGCTGTTAATATTAGGAAGACATAAGAGACCTTTAGATTCGAGGACAAGGACGATTGCGAGTATGAGAATTGACTTAAAGTTTTTTCGTGTATTCTCATTAATGTAAACTTCCCGGAGAGCTTCGTTTTACCATTTTTCAGTAGAAAGGTCTGTAGTACCGCGGTTAGGTTAAAACACACTTTATTCACGACCGTTACACTCCGAACTCAGAACGCTAACCCACTCGAATAAATTACAACACACGCTATCTATAGTACATGCAAATTACGTAATCCCCGTGTGTATCACATCACATTCATTCTCTCGCTTCTACGCGCTTGCATTAGCATCGTATACACTACATTCCCTTCTTTGATCAAATTTAGCAGGAAGGCAGTTTTAAAAGGCTGCAAAACCCTAAATGTTCAGCAAAACAAAGTCTTTGAATTAAACTAGACGAAACAGGAAAAGAAGTCCACATCTCTAATGATCTGCTGATATTTCTCCGGCGCCGACGTTACGCCAAACATCAACCGCTTGTAACGATAAAGCCCTCGATGCGTGGCAAAGGTAGTGATGTGGCGACTTTCCTCACTGAGTAAAATCTGGTGAAAACCCCACTTGAGATCTATCTTGCTGAACACCGTACTGCCATTCAAGTCGTGTAACAGCTCCTCAACGGTTGGAATTGGGTGACGCTCTCGGACGATTGCTTCATTTGCACGACGCATATCAACACAGACTCTTACGTCGCCATCGCTTTTGGGAACCACCACCAACGGCGAAATCCATCCTGACGGCCCCTCCGGCACTTCCTCTATAATGTCAAGCTCCAAAAGTTCATCCAGCTTTGCATCCACCTTCTCGCGTAACCCGAACGGTATCCTACGTACATGCTGCGCTACAGGCTTCACCGACTCATCAATGTGTAGCTTAAGCTCGTAGCCCTTCAAAAGACCAACACCACTAAACAAGTGCTTGTATTTCTCTCTGACATCCCCGTCCGATCGCCCACCGTCAACACTGTTTGTCTGAAAAGGACCAATACGCAACAGGTTTAGCGCCTCGGCAGTCTCTCGGCCCAACAGCGTGCGACCATCGCCTTCAACCACCACAAAATCAGCATTACTTCCGTTTTCAAACCCAGCCAGCGTGACATCTGCCGTGAACGTTCCTAGGGTCGGTAAAGGTTCTGTACCACCATAAGCAAAAAGTTCCTTTGCAGATTTGCGAGATTCACAGTTAATCCCCTTTTGCTTTAACAACTCCCAGGTCTGCTGGCCCATAACATTACATGAAGCTCCCGAATCAATGAGAACATCGGGTACGTCTACACCACCAATGACCAGCGTTACCAAAGCGCCCCTTTGTTCCTTGCGATCATTCACCTGTTCCACTGAAAAGGCATAATCGGGTCTTTGCGAATGACCTGATGCAGCGAAATCTCCTTTGTCTTCCTCTCCAGGGCTAGGTCTTCCAGTCACGAGGTTCGTCTCTCGCCCTCCGCGTCCGCGTCCACCTCGACCCAGTCCACCAGCACTCCTGCCTCCTCTGCCGCGTCCGCCTCTGCTACTCTCAGGTCCTCTAGATCCCGAATGGGTCCTGCTTAGCTGATGGAGTCGAGGGCATTTAACTTTGAAATGGCCTGTTTCGCCGCACTTCCTGCAAGTTTGACCACGCGCCGGGCACTTTTTGTCTTGACTGAAGTGTCCTTCTTGTCCGCAGCTAAAGCACGTCTTTGCTTTCCTGGGATTTTTGTTTCCATACAGCCTGCCACCCACTGCATTGACCTGGTTATCTGCTTGGTCGGTACTGTATTGCTTCAGTTGTCGATCAACCGCTTCTTGGGATCTTGCAACACGCAACAATTCATCTAACGTAACAGTTCCTTCCTTTTCCAGAAATTTCCGGCGTAAATGGCTCGAATAACACTTGTCTATGAGCTGATCGCGAATGTAGTCATCCTCGCCGGCGCCAAAATCACAAGTCGCTGCTCGCTGACGCAATCTACAAACGAACTGATCAACTGTCTCTCCGATCCCTTGCGAAATTTGTCGAAACAAATGTCTCTCAAAGGGAATGTTCGCCTTTGGCACGAAATGGTCGTCCAACACCTTTAACGTTGCTTCAAAACTTGCATCTCCACCCTCACCAGCTAGTGTGAAATAAATTTCTTGCACATCCATACCAGCGACATGCAACAGCAAAGCACGTTTTTGAGCGTCGTTCGATACACCTTTCCCGGTCACATACAAACTGAACGCTCGCTTCCACTTCTTCCATCGCTGACTTAAATTGTGCGCCTCTCCTTTTGGATTAAATGGTTCCAATCCACTGACATCTAAAGTAACAGAAGTCATCCCAGAACCGCCAACAGCACCGCCCGTAGTACCGCTTGTCGCGTTAGTTTCGCCCGATCCACCGCCTCCCGGCATCGCTGAAATAAATCCTTGACGAAATCCTCAACGAAATCCACAGCGAGATTTTCAACGAAACTCTTGAAACCCTCGGCGAAATCCTCGAAATATCCTCGAAATATCCTCGTCGCCAATGTAGTACTGCGGTTAGGTTAAAACGCACTTTATTCACGACCGTTACACTCCGAACTCAGAACGCTAACCCACTCGAATAAATTACAACACCCGCTATCTATAGTACATGCAAATTACGTAATCCCCGTGTGTATCACATCACATTCATTCTCTCGCTTCTACGCGCTTGCATTAGCATCGTATACACTACAAGGTCCACACTCTTATCTTTAGTGAAGGAGGTTATGCGCTCTTTCGATCGCACAATGATAAAACTTTTGAACACATTTGATATGAATCTTGTTTTTGCCACCACAACATTTGTGCTAGTAGTAGAATGATGGTGGCTACCACCTTTTCCTGCCAAAATGGTTCACACTTGAGTATTACTTAGTATTGGGAAAATCTCGTAGTTGTGGTCATACTTGTCTCAGAATCTTAAGCTCTCTATAGACACCAAAAATACAAGAGAAATTTTTTTAAGCTCCTTAAATTTTACAAGTTCCTGGGGGAAATCCGGTGTCCTCAACCCTTCAAATCACGTAGTGACCCCCCTGTTCTGGGATAAAAGCCATGGATGCCAATGTGAATGGTTTAGTTTGTGTGTCCTTCCATCCCTACAAAGTCTGTGTTCACACTTAACAGACAAATTTATTTATCTGTCTCAAATTATGAAATAGAGGGATAAACAGACAGATGTAATCAGACTGATAATTCATTGCCCTTACTGGGTCACATAATGACAGCCAGATTATCAATTATACTTCTGAGTCAGATAATCTAGCTGTCACCTAAGTGTAAAAACAGCCACCTGGCATGGATTACAGTAATAACCAATTAAAGTTTTTAGATGTTTCAGTTAATGTTTTAAATTGCCTATGAGATATTATTAATAATAGTTTTCTTGTTTAACTTAATTAGCTTGCCTATGGTTCAGTCCAGTTTCTGAGGATAGCATTTGATATTATTTCCTTGTACAAAGTGGGAAAGATGACAGAGAATAAGTGGCTAAAGTAAGTCAATCAGTCAATCATAATCAGTCGTTTCAAATGTTTAATGCATAGCCTCTAAGGCAACTTCATTTTTCTCTGCACAAAAGCAATTTTACTACTTAAGTATTTACAGTCAACTCTTTCTAAGTCGGACACCTTTAGGGGCGGTACTAAGTGTCCGTCTAAGAGAGATGTCCGTCTTATAGAGAGTCAAATAAAGGGAGTAAAGAAAGGCAGGGACCAACTCTAGCTGTCCGTTTTACAGAGGTGTCCGTCTTATAGAGGTGTCCGTTAAGAGAGAGTCGACTGTATTTGTTTAATTGTATCAGCTATGAATTTTTCCATTAATTCTTTGTCGTCTTATTTATATTCACAGAAATGTTGTACAATGAGTAAACCTTAAGTAAATAGCGCTTTTGGATCATTAAGAAAAAGCACTCTAAAAATGTTTAATTATTATTATGATTATATGATTACGATGATAATGATGATGATGATTATTATTATTATTATTAAGCGTAGCAGTGGTGGTAGTAGTAGCAGCAGCAGCAACAGCAGTAGTAGTAGTAGTTACTTTAGTAGTAGTCGTAGTAGTAGTGGTAGATTTTTGTCCGTTGAATCTCAAGACCATAAAACAGCTATAATTTGTGTTAATTCGGACTCATACATTATTATTTTTTTGATACTGGCACTTGATTTGACGTATGGTTTTGTGTCCTTTGATTATCAACAGCCGCATTATTATGTTGGAGACAGTGGCAGGTGTACCAGGGATGATTGCCGCGATGGCTCGACACTTTCACTCACTCAGGAAACTAACAAGAGACCATGGGTGGATTCACACACTGCTAGGTAATATTTCCAGTGAACTGAAGGGCCATGCAAAATTCAAATATTTATTTACTCCAACAAGCACCAATCAAACTGTAATAGGTTTAACCAAGGTAAGTTTTTAAGTACTAATATGGGCTATTGCTAGTCTATTCAAATTTGGTAGTATTTTGACAATAATATAATTTATTAATCTGCTTACGTATTTCTAACACTTCAGTACATCTGTCATATTTCGGCACTCGTGCCATGTCCCAGAAACTTGTCATTATGATTAATGTACTCAAAAACTTCGTTTTATAGTTTTAGTTACTTAAAACTTTTCATCAAACTTTTTAAGAGGAAGCTGAAAATGAGCGGATGCATTTGATGACAGCCTTGGAACTAAAAGAACCTGGAATTCTCTTCCGAGGAGTTATACTTTTGGCTCAGGGTAAGTTGTACAAAAAAATGATTTCTCCATTAATTTTCAAGACTTATTGCGTTTAAGGCATTTTAATGCAGGTGAAATGTGTAACCTGTTATTAGGTCGAATTTTAGTGCCATGCTTATGTTCTTTTTCATTTTGCATCCGCCTCCTCCTCCTCCATAAGCTTTTCTAAGGCTTTGTAGCATGGAACACAGCGAGAACCCTGAGAAGTGGAGACGAGCAAGAGGTCCCAGGAACACTTTAATTTCCTTAATAATTTACTCAAATATCCGCCCAAACGTGATTGTGAGTAACTGCATGGGGATGAGGCAGATTTTGCCTAATGCCCACTCCGACTTAACCAGGGGGTTGGGGATTGGGGTTTGGGGGCTCGGGTTACAACATCATCATAATAATAATAATAATAATAATAATAATAATAATAATAATAATAATAATAATAATAATAATAATATAATAATAATAATAATGATAATAATAATAATAATAACTGTTTATTCACAAATCCATGGAAAAGTGAAAAGGAGATAAAGGAGGTTATCCCTTTCTAGTTTAATCCATGGGGAAGCTCTGCCAAAAGGTCAAACCCCTTTATCCTTTTATTTACTATTTTTAACAAGGTATCCCCTCTATATTCCTTCTATTGACAAATGGTATCCCTTTCATATACCTAGTGTAATTAGAACTTTCCATCCCTTTCAACTGCTGTAAAGGCACTGTATTCAAAATGTGAATAAATCACAAAACCAGAACATTTCCCCAACTTTCTCACAGTGATAAAATGCATTTGTCAGCCCCTTTAAGCCTTTCATTAAAAGAAATGACAGTTACCCTTTCTCATAATTAAACTTCCGAAATCCCTACCCTTTGATTTATACCTGAAGCCTACAAAAGGTACCCTTTCAAGCGGAGCCTTCCCACATGGACCATTATAGGGAGTACCTCCACCCCCCAGGGGAGTTAACGTAAGATGCAAACAAAATCTTTATTATGTGGCTACAACTTTTTCCTTTTCTATCTCAACAGGTCTTTTTGTCAACTGCTTCTTCATAGCATACATGTTAAGCCCCAGATTTTGTCACAGATTTGTTGGATACCTAGAGGAGGAAGCAGTGAAGACTTACACCTACTGCTTAAAGGTGAATAACCTTTTTAAGTTAACCATGGGCTGCCTCACTTGAGAAGGTGGGCCCATCCTGGTGGATCCATGGGCTTGCACTGTTCTGGCAAGCTGAAGATGTTACTTAGAAAAATGATTTTGCCTTGTCTAGTTTCGAGATGAAGTTCTTCAAGCGCTGACAACTACTGACAAAATTAATAATCCCCCATTCCTCCCTAAAACAAATATGCTGAGTCTGGCTGGATCATTTCTGTCCTTGACAGAACAACATTGGCCAGGGTGGGGCAAGGGGAGAGGTTATAGGGGTACTAAATCTGATGGACAGGCATTCTGTGGGTAAGAAACTGCAAAATTCTAAGCACTTTTTGTCCAAGATTGAAGATAGAGTTCATTCCAATAATGTGGTAATACAAATGTACCACTTAGAGTGACCAACAGTAATTTTCTCCTAACAACATCAGCAGATCATCAAGAGTAAAGTTTATGAGAATTACTAAATTGATAACCAAAGGGAGAATGCTTTGATCTTAAGCCAAATTCTCTCAACTATTCTTAAAAGAAATGTATGGAGATCAGTCTGGAGAATTTGTCCGTGGATAAAAGAAGAGAGAAGAAACAGCTGGAAATAATATTATACCCCTGCCATGAGGCCCCAATCCAGGCACCTGTCAAAGTGAAACTGAATAAAATTTTCAGTGTTTCTGTAATGAATAAAATGGATGGGAGAAAAATAGAAATAAAATTCTGTCATTATAGCCACCTCTTACATGTAAATACATTGGACTTTTGACTATAAAAGGCAGCTGTTTGAAAGTGTCTAGTTGAGGTTGTTGAGTTCAGTTTTGAGCTATATTTTAACAAGATTGTTATTAATAAGTTTAAGACACTGTGACTTTGGAGGACAGGAAATTGAAGATGTCTCTGACCAGGTTCTTTCATGTAAAAAATTCAATTCAAGGGCAGAAATATGTGATAAAATTATTGATTCAGTTAACGTGCGTGTAAAATTTTCACAGTGTATTGATGATGGAACTCTACCGATTTGGAAAACAAAGCCTGCACCTCCTCTGGCTATTAACTACTGGAAGTTAAAGGTATTTAAGAAAATTTTTTCTTAAAATTTAAATTTCAAAGAGGGGATAATTTTTATAAGAGTGTCGAAGAAAATCCTGGCTCAATAAAAAAAGAAAGAAAAAACTATGAAAAATATGTGCCAAGAGAGGAAGAGGAAAGGCCATGTAACAGAAAACTTGAACCTTTGACTGACAATATCTCTCCAGCACAAATAGTTTACTGCACAACTGAATTTTACACAGATTGTAGCTCAGGGGAAATGGTAAAAAACTGAAGCATTACTGGGAGCAACAGGTCAAGAAGAATTAAATGAAGTAGATCGTAGGTATTGACACAACTTTTGCAGTTGTGGAAAGAGAGCCTGAAAAAGTAAGGCTTGCACGGGATTTGAACACTTGACCTCTGCAATACTGGTGCAGCGCTCAACTAGTTATTGAGCAAACAAGCCAACTGGGAGTGGCTCATTGAGTTGATTCATTATAAACCCATAAAAGGATAAAAATATGAAAATTATACATAAGAACTGTGGAGTGAATGAAGAATTAAATGAAAGGAGTTTATCGCAGTTATAGGGGATAGTTAAGTAGAATTCAAAGGTTATTAAACTCAATCACGCACCCTTCTCACTACACAACAAGAGATTTTTAGATTTGAGGACAAGAACAAGGACGAGATTGGATTTAAAGTTTTTTCGCATATTCTCAATAAGAAGACACCTCAGAACGCTTCATTCTTCTTTTTTTTTACCAGAAAAGTTAGCACTGTTACCTTTATTGGAGGAGATTTAAAGCCCTCTCCCGATCGCAAAATGATAAAACTTCTAACATTATTTTGATAACTTGTTTCCGCCACTGCAATATTCTCACTAAAACTCATAGTAGAATGACAACTAGTATCACGTTTTCGCACAAAAATCATGTTGGCTTATGCGAGCACAACTTAGTATTGAGAAATTCTTGTACTTATATTCATACTTGTCTTAAAATATAAAGGTTTCTAATATTGTTCAGTCTGTAGCTCTGAGTTTCCATATCATTTTCTTACAGGAGGGAGCTGTTATGCGGGATGCCATCCTGGCCATACGAGCAGATGAAGCACACCACAGAGTTGTTAATCACACTCTAAGCTCAATGCACCTTAATGAGAAGAATCCATTTTCACCAGGCCAGAAGAAATTATAAGTGCAAGGTTATCTCTGGTTCCCAGACTTTGAAGAGAAAAAAGAGGGTCTGTGAACAGGCAAAGTAAAATCGGACTTTTGTATAGAGTTTTTAAGAGTGCTAAAATATTATTTTATATTTCAAAGGAACCTCAATTTCTTGAAGCCCTGAATTTGTCTCAAACTATATTTATTACCCAAGCATAGCGATCACTTAAGGCTGGGGCCTGGGGATTTCACCCAGCAACACCCGGCTACTGTCATAACAGGGGTGGATCCAGGATTTTTCTTTGGAGGGGGCCGGGTGCACCACTAAGGAATGGCATAACTGACTGGTGACATAATTCAAAGTGGCGTGTACAACTTTTGAGCAAGACAGAAGGCAGTACACATAGAAGTGAAGCAAAATCCACAGGATACCCATGAATAGGACATGTGGCAATGATGCTCGCGGAACGTCTGCTCTGACCAATAGAAAGGATTCTGTGCCAAACTACCAATTTACGGCGTTTAACATAAATTTTTCAACCTCATCTCATGTTTACTTCAACACCAGTAAACTACCTAATATTTTTTTTGGCAGAATACCAGTGGTATGAGAAAGCCGCAGGTCATCTCGGGGGGCATGGGGTGCGCATCCCCTGCCCCCTCCCCCTAGATCCACCCCTGCATAGGAAGCAAAGGGAAAACAGACTAAAACAAAAGAACTTCCTAAAGATTTAATTCCCTGTCAAGTGATTGCAAAACCTGGTTACTTGAAATCTTGAAATCTGACTTGAGTCTAGAAGCCAACCAAACTTCACACACTCATGACCTTTTAGTGGAATGTTGCAATATGTTTAATATAGAATTTTAAAATCTCCTAAATAAATGTGATGTTAAACAAATTCTTTGCTTCCATGAGTTGATTGCTCAAAACCCTTAACAAATTTAAATTTAGCTGTGAAAAATGGTTTCAGTTTTGTTTGTCAGTTTACTGTTTATTTTAAGCCAATTATTAATGAGCTAAACATCATATTGGAGAATTTGTGGTTCCATGGTGTAAAATTTTGTCTTTTTTTTGTTTTGGGGTATGATAGCATGTTTGAAATAAAAGAAAATAATTTTTAAACCAATCGCAAGTTTTCACGTGACATCAAAACTTGAACCAGAGAATTATCAGTTCTTCTGAGTTTTCACTTTCATGAGGTACTACAAGAGTTAAACACTTATTATATTAATGTACAAATTTTCAGTTTAAATGGCTTGTTTGTTCTGTGATGGTGTGCTTGAATTTCTGAAATTCAATCACTCTATTTCATAATAATTATTGTGTTATACTAATAAAGCATGTATTCTGTAATTATATTACACTACTGCAAAATTAATAATACATTAATTTAATTTGTACATTTAATTAATTTATACATTGAAGTAGAAGCTAGGTTATAAAAGAAGGTAAAGGGTAGAATTATTAATGAATAAAGTAAATGTGCAACTAATGTACAAAACTAATGTAATTTGCTACAACCTGATGTCATGAAATACATTGTCATGTTATTTCTTGTCAACATCACTTACACATAAGGAAAATAAGAGAAAAAATTGTGATTTTTATTTACATGATACTTTTTCTCTACTTATTAGAGACCTTAAGATACACTGTTTCAGTGTACAAGTACAGGTAAATTACCCATGTGCGTAGCCGTAAACACGGGTAGATTGCCTCTTATCATGGAAAAATGGGTAGGCTACCAGCTAGAATGGTAATGCGATCATCTCATCTGGGAAATAATGGTCACCTTATCTTTAACTACTTAGCCAACATGGTCACCTACCCGTGCCCAGAGGGAAAAACAATGTACCTTAAGGTCACTATTGTCAACTCATTTCCCCTAGATGTCCATCTATTATAATGATAGTGATGAAGACAATGAGTATAGAGTGATGTTACTTAACCTGTAAAACAGATACTACAAAGAACTAATGCCAAATAGCTACAAGTAGACAAAAGAGACAAGAGAATGAAGTTAGTGCATACGCATATTATAGTACATAGTAGTCTAATAACCTGGTTCATGGGTTAAGTAAAATCACTCTATTATGTTAAATACACTGTATCTTTTATATCTTAACGCAGGTGAAAGTTACCTAAGATATGCCTTAACTCTATTTTCCTTATGTTCAATGTTGCTTCCCTTGTGCTTATAGAGTGTCATCCCAGTTACAGTTAAAAACAATTTGGCCACAGCCAGCTTCTCTGTCGGGAATTGTGCGCCAATAGTGTGTTTACATATTATTTCGTAGTATGTTTTTATCCTTTCACTTTGTTATATTTCAAGTTGATGACAACGTTGATTGCCAAATATTTAGTTCATGATCTCCAGAAAGTTCAAGGGACAGTCACGAAGTGAACCGTGATAACTGATAAGATGTTGGGTTTCTTAATTTATTTCATGGGAATAATACTAAATGTCAGTCACTTTATAATGATGTAGGTTAGGTTTCATGTGTATTGTAGTCAGTTTAGGAGAGAAGATCATGCAATCTGAAAACAAGTTGTAAAGCCGAAATCTGTGAGATTTGATTAAACGTTGAATACATTGGAATATGCAAGCAGACTTCTATTTGCCTCATCTCCAACACTTCCATTATTCACACCTATGTACACCTGGTAAGGAAATCTGCTCTGAATAAGTTGACTTCAATTCAGATTGACTTTTACAGGGGAAGTTCATAAATCATTAATTATTAGTTACTAACTAAAGGTAATTTTTGATGTGTAAATCCCATTTGCACCATTCTTACGTGTGCATACGCTGCCTGTTCACCTATTGAAGGTCAAGTTGTATCTAATCTTGTACTGTTTTTTTCTGGTTCAAATTTGAGTGAAATGCTGTTGATGCAGTATCTGAGACCAGTAGGCGCAGGGCCGTCTGGGAACACATGACCAAGATGAGAATCACACTGTCAAGTAAAATAAAAAAATAATTAGTAAGAAAATAGTTTGAAAGTTTTTAATATCTAAGTAAGTACATGCTCTTCAATCAAATGAATTGAGTGCTCTACAAAATAAGACATTCTACCCAGAATAAATTATGAAGTCACATGACCATAACTTCTAATATAGATCTACATGACAGATTATCTTTAAAGAAAAAGAGAGACTAGTATTTACCCGGTATTTTAAGACAGAATTATTCTCAGTTTTAAACAAAAGAAAACTGCATAGTACTGTGCTGCTCTTTGCAAAAACAAGTTTTAAATGCGTTGCCCCATCAAGAAAGTGCACATTGCAATTGGCAACTCCAAAATTTTATAAGTATTAATGTGAGTAAATAATGGCACTCCATATCCAGCGAGCAAGCTCTCTAGGTGTTTGCTTGTGGGGTAACTACCTTGTAGGGAAAGAACTCTTCATTTTACCTGCCGACAAAGAACTTCAGTTCTGACCATGCCGTGACTATAGTCAGTTTTTTCTGCTACTGACAATTGAAGAGAACTTGCATCGTTGGAGCTAATTGTTTCTATTGCAGCATTAAATGATGGCCATCCTGTCCCAGATTCAAACTTTGCAGATGAGCTGTACCCAAAGAAAAGAATTACACTATCAGGTAAAGGAGCATTAACAAGATAAGAAACTCAGGTTAAACTGGCTTCTATAGTATGAAGTTACATTTAAGGAGTAGCTCTTTAATGGATAATGTACTGTGACAATAAATCCTATCCGCCATTATTCTCCTGACTGTATTGGGGAGCATCAGAGAATTTTGACAGAAGAGATCTTTAATTTGCCAAAAAGATATTGTAAGATTTTTCAGGGGTAAGGGAGAGGAAGTACTAAGTGGATTTGCTGGCGCAAAATCATCATTTTTAAGACGCTAAATGACTAACTAGAGGGAATAATATTATCTGATGCCAGGATTGCTTACCTAAACAGGTCACTACCACAGCAAACACACTTGTATTTTCCTTTGCCTTTAAATTCAACATATTCACCAGACCATGGCTGGAAGCAAATAGGTGAATTTTATTATATCAATAGTAAACACTTAGAAATGGCAGCTGGGATAGATACTAGAGTCTAAGTACAGCTACTACATCAGTATGTCTGGGGAATTAATCTAGGTTCAAAAACGACGTAAATACTAGGTAAGTAACCAAGAGTAAGGTCATTACAGGGAAATCTCAGACTGGGGGCTCGGACAATACATCAAGGCCGAGGTCTGAGATTTCTCTGTAATAACCAAACAGATGAGGTTAACAAGTTATTTATTACATGGCCTGTTTAGAGCTGTTGTTAAAATGAATACATTAAAAAAATCCCGGAAGTAATTTTCAACATCTGCACATAAGAGATCATTTGAGGTCATGTTCACGAAAAAACCCTGGGGATGTGATCGAAACCACAAGACAAAGTTTCTTTGACAATGAGAAATTTTGGACCTGAGCCTGTGATCAATTAAAATAACCAATAACTGGTCAGCTGATAACTTTAAAAAACATGTCACCTCAATGAGTTGTATGCTTGACCCCGTGATACAGTCATGTGACATGGTCAGCGGATAGCCTTTTTTGACAGCTGTCAATTGACCATAATATGGATGTCCACTATCAAGTTTCTTGTTTAAAAACACAGATTGTAAATGCTTGGAACACCTAGCTAGCAATGCCTGGTCATTACAAGAAAATCTTGGCTTATATAGTAGCCAGTTGGAGCTCACATACTATTGTAGCCATTCAATAATAAATTATTAAACAAGGTATGTGAAAGGGAAACCATTTGTCAATAGAAAGTATACAAAAGAGATAGCTTTTCTGTCAAAAATGGTATATGAAAGGGGTTGGACCTCGGGACGGAGCCTCTCCACCTCCCCACCTCCCCACCTCACCTGGGAATAACCCATAAGGATTAGTCTTGGTCTTACCGGCTCAGTTCCTTTTTGCCTGCAGACCCAGTATTGATCAGGAGAAAGTTTTGTTTTCCATTCTGTGTCTGAGTACTTGGCCAAGGAAACTAACCAAAACAAAATATTTATGTGGACAAATACACTTTTGAATAACAGAGAGATCTGGAGTCACGTTTATGGCAAATGGCAAATGTGAGACACAAGTTGAGTCTTTCTCAAATGATCAAGAAGTGAGCAGATAAAAACTGTCCCAAATAAATCTGACAGATGAACATAACAAGAAACACCTTATTCCTGTGTAAAATAATCAATAGCACACGACAAGTAAACAGAAGACTTGGTCATGTGGTACAATCTCATATTGCCATTTGTCGTAAGCTTCATTCTAAATCTCTCAATGTAAGTACTTATACGGGAACTCACAGCCCATCAAGTATCCAACAAATTCCCCAGGGAGGAGTTCAGTTGGGAAGGAATTGACTTAGCCATTATTCCTTACTCATAAAGACGTCACCCATGATATTAATTAGCAAGCAGAAGTGCATTGGTTCTTGAAATAAAATATTCTTTTGTTTCATTCAATACACATGTGACTATAAACAAAAGAAATGAAGTTATGAATATATGAAAATCATATACGACAACTGCGGAAGAAATGTTTGTAAACAGTAAGTAGGATCAGTCAACAGTTGAGGGGGTAGAAATGTTTCGAAACCTTTTGAGTTTTCTAATCCGGATTTCTAATATATTGATTTATATGTATTCTCATGGTTAGTAATAATGCCAATTTTAACGTAGACGTATTGATCTTTTTAAACTTGTATTTGTGATGTTGTTACATAAGCTTATATTATATCTTGCTTATTTTTTCACTGTTTTTTATACCATGCAAAGAACGTCACAAACCTTTGGACACAAAAAACCCTCGATAAAATATCTGAAATCCTTTGTTATGCTTCACTAATGTCTTTGTCATCTGAAGCCGAAACAATGATGAAACGTGTCTTGAAACTTGGCAATAACCAGCTGAACAACATACTCTGTGAAATGCTCCGGCCGCCATCTTTGTTATAGTAGGTATGTCCCCATACATGAAGTACCTACCGTTATTCTTGGTGCTGACCAGAATGATCGCATCCTCTGAAAAAATTTTAACCTCGTCCCCAGGGTCTTCTCGCTTTCCAATATGGCGGCAGGAGGCGCCATATTGGAAAGCGAAAAGACCCTGGGGACGAGGTTGGCAACAATTTAACCACGTGGTTTGCAATGGAAGCAAGAAAGGGATAGAAACAATCCTCATTTTTGCGGCCCATTTTTGCATCATATCTACCAAACGTCGCCAAGTTCTACAAAATTTCAAAATTCTCTTCTGCGCCAGACTCGTACCCAGTCGCCACTTCTATTTATTCTCGCAAAGGAATATGAAAAGGCAATTTGACGCGCACAAAGGCGCTTGAGGAGGAGGGAGGAAAAGCTTTTCGTTTTTCTTCCTTCCTTCTCTTGCACCGCGAACTCATTAAATCCTTCCCATTAATCACAGCGCATACAGAGAAGCGACTTGGTACGAGCTGCCTCTGCGCATCGTTTTTTAAGCTCTTATCTCAACGTTTGATATTATGACACATGGTGGGTAGCCGAGAGGGGGTGCTCTATACAATGGCCTATACGGGGCGGTCACACCCGAAAGGGGTACCTTTTTCAAGTTTAAGGTATATAAAATTATTTTAAAGGTCATATGCTGCGCGTTCTAGGCACCTCTTCCTATTTTTTTTTTTTTTTGCTTAGTACGCCTCACAAGCAGACTTAGAATTTAGTGAGTTCTTTGTTAGTTTATTTTGTGTATACTGGATTCTGATGTCTTTACTTACTACTCCAGTAAGTTAAGCAAGAACAGGGCCTTCCACTGCATGTTTTTATTTATCAGCTGTCTTTGTTACATGTTGCGCGCTGTGTTAATGCTGAAAAAAGCCATGCATGCGTGCCTATGAAAATGAAACTGGAACATTACTAAGAGTACTAACGTACTAAGACCTGTAAAATCAGTAAAAAAAAAACGTAGAACACGGCCGTTCTGACCCTACTAACGTGACCAGATGGCGGAATAAAATACCAGAGCATAGAACATGGTAGCCTGCGTAGCAAGCGTTTTAGGAGCAAAGAACGAGGAACGAGAGTCAAAGACCGCGCGAAGAATGAGGCAAGTAAAATAGCGGGGAAAAGGGGCTCTTGCTTCATTTCTCGCGCGGCCAAAACCGAGAATCCCGTTCCTCGGTCTTTCTTTGCTCCGAAACCAAACGTAAACGCTTGCTACGCAGGCTAAGAACATGACCGTATTAAGTCCAAGTGATATACCAGCATACATAGAAGACGGCTTCTATGATAAAATACCAAGATACATGGAGCATGTCCGTACTATGCCTACTAACGTACTAAGACAGAACAAAATACCAACATACATAGAGTATGTCTGTACTAAGCTTCACGTTAGTTCAGTGGCGTATAATTTTTAGACCAAACTGAGGCCAGGAGGGTCGAAAAAGCGTATTTTGGAAACCGCCCCCTCCCCCACACCACTTATCTAAGGGTCTGGATGACCGCCCCCCTTTTTATCTCAGGATCTGGATCCGGCACTGTAGTACGCTTACTACGACCATTTTCTACGTTTGTTGCCGTTTTATTCAGCCTTATAAATAACACGAGACGCCAATTACGGAAATGGTCAAAGGAGGATTTTACCATCTTCCCGTCATGCATTATGGTCAAACTATAATAGAGCAGTTAAATAAACAGATACTTGAAGTAATTTTAAACGATTCATCCAGCAATTAAGAGGATCTACTTACCAAACTAAATATGACCATCCTGGAGGCAGGTCGAGTGCAAGCCATGATGCTGACATTGTACAAATGTTTACATGGAATGGCCCCGCCTTACCCCGGGCTTACATTAAAGCTTACATTCAAAAGCGGCGTTTATCATGTGTATCAGATTATAATTTTTTGTAGGTTCTTATATTATGTAATTCGGGGATATTAGCACTATATGCTACTCTGCAATCCGATGCAAAATAAAGTTTTGAATGAACGACATGAATGAATGAATAAGTTTTCTAACAACTGCTTCATTATCGTTAAGATTGTTGTGGCTGTGCGGATGCTTTAGGGTGCATTTCAAAAGGCAGATTAACCATCTCTAAAAGTAAAACTCGCACGAAGGGAACTTTTCCTTCGAATTTTTGAATTTTGAGTGCAAATTATTTTTTATTCAGCTAACTCAACCCCCAACAGAGATTATGGCCATGTGTGTGTGTCTCATTTCTTTGGTACCCTAGGAAGAGAAATGCTCTTCTCTCTCCCTCTCTCCCAAATTTCCCCTCCCTTTCCTCTTCTTTCTCCTCCCCTTTTGACGCCTACCTTGCAAGCTACTTCTTTTGGGGGAGGTGCCGGTAGCCGTGGCTGCCTCTAGTGAATAATACACCTTGTTCCCCCCCCCCCCCCCCCCCCCCCCCCCCCTCCCCCCCCCCTTTATTGGTCAGACTGAAATAATTATGGTTTGAGTAAGTATTTTTTTTTTCATTAGCCCCCACTTCTTATATTTCTCTCTTACCCCACTACGTGGGGGGCCCACATATACACCCCCAGGAAGTTACACCCAAACAAACCCCCCCCCCCCCCCTCCTCTACCTCCCTTCTCCCAAGGTGCAGTATGGTCTAGTGATAAATCATGTGCTATGCATGAGTGCTTTATTTGAACAGCAGCCTCATTTAGCGAGTTCCCTTAAAAACCCATGCGTGGGAGGCTACATAAAACGTCCCCGGAGTATTTAATCGCAAAAGGATTGCGAAAGAACGCATTTTATTTTTCTTTTATACGTGTTGATTGAAAAAAGCTAAACAAAAGGAGCAAAAATATCAAGTGTTGGCAGAAATATTTATGCAAATGCACTAGGTCTAGGCAACTGCATGATCAGAAGTAAACAGTTTTAGCGTCAACTTGCCTTCGCAATACGGCTATCCAATTGAAAGAAAATTCACAGTTAACCGGCTGCACAAGAGGAAAAAATTTCTCGAGTAGAGTGCCGTTAAATCTAACAGCAACGCGACATAATGGACATTGATCATTTTTAAGGAACTGGTAAGAGTTAAATTTTGTTGGTTGTGACCCATTTCGCATATTCCTTCTAGAATTGGCAACATGGACGATAGTTTAATGCTTTTTTGGTTAGTAGTTTCGTATTTTTTTTGGAATAAGTTCTGACCGGTTAGCGGTCAAAATTTTGACCTTTCTTTTATTTGCAAAATAGAAAGACCTTCAATATAAAATTTCATGCTTATTAGTATTCTTTACATCACATGTTTATCCTAATCGGTATTTCCGGTGAACCTGAATTCAAAGCCAACCCTGACTTCTACGTTTGCAGAGTTTTATTGGGTAAAGAGGTCCTTACTACACGTGATTAAATCCGCGAAGTCGATTTAACAATATGGCTACTGAATATAAATGAGTTTTTGAAGTAGAAAAAAAGGTGATTGGATCCGAACATTTATACAAACTCTCACGTTTTCTAACCCAAGACTTTTAAAAACGGCGGGTAATTCAAACCAATTTTGTTTCCTTTTTCTTAGGTTACTTGAACATTGGCCGTTTTTGTACTAAGGACGCACTATCCGTCCAGATAGCCTGCGAAGCGCAGACGTATTTCCGGTCGTCGCTTCTCTCCCTCCGAAAGGGGAGAGAAGGAGGGAGACAGAGAAGGGAGGAAGAGAAGCAACGGCCGGAAATACGTCTGCGCTTCGCAGTCTACCGTCCAGACGGATAATGCGTCTATAATATCAATATTTTCCGGGATCGGAGAATTCAGTTAACACACTTGAACCTCTAAGGTTTTGTACTGCACCACACCAAACATAATTTCTAGGCCCATCTTGCGCAAAATCAAGCAATAAGAAAATAATTTTTTTAACTAAAACCACAGGCTAACCCTTTTCGAAAAATCCATTTTCATGACTCTGTAATCTTGTAAAGAAAAAGATTTTCTTGTCCTAGAAGGGCATGTTTTCTAATCTACGTATACAACTTCAGAAAACTTGACTTAAACCAATTTTTCGCTCAAACAACAAAGAACCTTAAGAATTAGCACCAAATTAATGAAATAAAACCCTTGCTAAAATTCGAAAATTGCATTTTTCGAAAAGGCGTCAGTCAAGCTTCTGGTCAAAAATAAAAAGATCACAAAATTATCATTTTTTCAAATTAAGGGGGTTAATCCATGGTTTTAGTGTTTCTTCTTCTTTTCGTTTATGGAAAAATAGGCCAAAAAAAGTGCTTTGTGACCTTCTACATAAAAAACTAGCCTTTCTAGTCTTTCTAGACCTTATAAAAACATCGACTTAAGAAAGTCGCCAAGTTTTCTTTTTTTCAAAGGGGTTAGTCCATACGTTTCTCTTTAGACAAAAAAGACCAATTCACGTACTATACGAAGAAAACAAGACGCTGTGGGAGCGTAAATTTGGGTGTCAATAAAGAAGTTGATCGGGGGGGCTGAAATTTTGTGTGTGTTCGGAGGGCAAATCGGTAAGGTCAAGGGAGAGGGCGTAAAATCTCGCTATAGATTTAAGGGCCTGATTACATGAGCTGGACTGGCCCGCTTTGCAAAGATCTCGGCACCATAGTTGAACGCAACAAAAATCAACTTTGCGATTATATGACAACCGAGCCAGCCCGGTTAGCTGGGATCCCAATATTGTGATGCTGGGATCCCGGGTGCTTTTCGGGCGGTCCGGCGAATAAAACCAAGCGAGAAACAGGATAACCGGTGACACACTGCTCATTTATTGCTTGAAATCTCTTTACGAAAATGGCGGCTCCGGGCTGGCCCTATTCATTTAACACCGGGATCAAAGTCACCTCGGCAGAGCTAGCCAGCCGACAAACCGGGACAGCCCAGCTCTTGTGATGAGGCCTTTACTGTGAGTTGTATTGTCACGCAGTTTGCACGTGAAAGCTTTAGGAATTTGCCGCTTTCGTGGTTCGTGTATGAGAGAATGAGAGAATACGACTTAATCTAATTAA